TCTATCTATCTATCTATCTATTCTATCTGTCTATCTATCAATCTATCAATCTATCTATCTATCTATCTATCTATCTATCTATCTATCCTGTCTATCTATCTGTCTGTCTATCTATCTATCTATCTATCTATCTATCTATCTATCTATCTATCTATCATCTCATGAACCTAAGCTCTATCCCTGGAACCCACATAGTGAAAGGAGAGTACTGACTCCCTACGAGTTGTCTCTGAACTCCACATACATGCTGTGGCACACACACACACACACACACACACACACCAATCAATCAATGTAATAAATATTATGGTGAAAGTAAAGATTTAAGAGAAATGCAGAAATGCCTGGACTGAAGCCAGAAATGGGAGCAGAAATCTTCATCTCCCTGTGCAATCCAAGGAAAGTCCTCTGAAGCCATTAAAAGAAGATAGAGGGTAGGGTTCTGGATAACCCAAGAAGACAGGAAAGAGGAAGGGGGTATGCAAGCCACTGAGCAACATCAAAGATGGGGCTCAACCTTCCAGGAATGGAAGGAGTTGGAAGGTAGCACCAGTGTGGATTTGAGTCTTGAATAAATATTGTGAAATTCATGGTTTTCTCTAACATTGAAGAACAGGCGTCAAGTGGTCCAACATCAAACATCAAGAAGTCTATGTTATTGTTCTGAGCTGTGACATTAAAATATGCCCATGTCTGTAAAAGGCCTGGAAGTGTCTGGAGAGGATCCCTTCACAGTCCCAAGGGAGCTTCATGGGGCTCTAATTTATAGTAGAGCTGATAGGATCTGTACACTGTCATGCCTCCTGGGCCAGCATTCAGGAAGCCCTATGTGAAAAGAGAGAACACAAGCTTAGATGAAGCTCCTAACATAGTAAAGAGGTTGTGTAGACAGGGACGTTGCATTCCTTCATCTAAACTTTATGCTGATGTTTTCTGTCCATGGTGGAGTGTGGGACAAAGGTGGCCTCAGCATAGCTTTCACAGTTCTCCTCTGACCCTCCTGTTCTAATAAGAAGCTCTTGATTTAGAATTTCCATCAGGGCATTAATCCTATGCTTCTAGACTACTGAGGTGCAAAAATGCCATCTTTGAAAAGAGCGCTCATTATGGGCTGGGTTCTCTACCTGTTTCCAAGGTAACACTTGAATCTTAAAATTTTCTTTGATACTTTACAAAGACTTAACGTTTCACAGGATGCTGAGATGGATCCCAGTGACCATGAACTTCAGGCAATCCAGAAATAGTCGGATAATTTTAAGAGATTTGATCAAAGACAAGCCTTGGCCCTCTCGTGTAGCCTCCAGACTGACACTAAGACTCTAAGGCATACTGATTCCCCTTTAAATAGACATGATGGTGCTAACAACTCAGATAAATCAGTTTCCTCTAATCAAACTCTACTAGTTTGCTTAAAAGAGAGCACTATAAGAGGGAGGCATAAATGTCTGGCTGGGGATGTAGCTCAAAGGTAGAGAGAGCACTTATATAGCATGACACAGCCCTGGAGTTCAGTCCCAGGACTTAAAATCATCTAAGTAAGAGGGACTGCAGAGATCATTAAGTAGTTCCAGAAGATCCAAGTTTGATTTCCAGCATCCACATGGTGGTGGTTCACAACCATCTACAGTTCCACAGGATTCAACATCTTCCTCTGGTCTCTGTAGACCTCAGGCACACAAATGGTGCATAAACATATATGCAGACAAAACACCCATACACATAAAAATAATACCACAAAGAGTATCCCATGGAAAGTGAGTAGATCCCTAAAGACAGACTATATTCTCTCTTCCTGGGGTGGAAGGAAAAGGGAGGAAGCATCAGTTGGAGTTGAGACGTAGTTGGAAGGCCACAGAGTTCAATGGTAAAGGCCTGGAATGTAGCTTACTTGGCAGAATGCTTGCTCAGTGTGGGTTTGATCTTGAGTGCTTCATGAATCAGGCATTGTGGTCCACACTTGTAATCCCAGCACTCCGGGGGCCAAGGCAGGAGAATTAGGCATTCAAGATCATCCTCAGTTACACAGAGGCAAGCCTGGGCTACATGAGACTCTATGTCAAAAATGAAAAGACTTACCCAGTTGTGGTGCTCACCTTTAACCTACACTCAGAAGGCAGAGGCAGGAAGATCTCTGTGAATTCAAGGCCAGCCTGGTTTACGTAGTGAGTGCCAGACCAGCCAGGGTTACATAGTGATACTCTGTTAAAAAAAAAAAAAAGTTTTGTCTTCAGTGGGCAAAGAGCTGTGTGGTGTTGTGGTAGGTGGGGACTGAATGGTCAGCTGGATGCCAGCCCTGGGTTACATAATGAGACACTGTCATAAAAATCAAAACAAACAAACCAGCTAATCAACTAAACACATAAACAAAACCAAATAATAGGCAAAGATCTTAGATTGATATTTCTACAAAGACATACCAATGAACGAGAAGCACATGACATTTTTTGAAACGTTAGGTCATCACTAGAGAAATGGAAGTCAAAATTAAGAGACACCAGAGACTGGGACGTTAGTGCAGGGAGGAAGGTAAAAAGGCACAGCTGCCATGGTGCAAATAGCATCAGGTTCGGTGGCACTCCTTTAACCCCAGCACTTGGGAAGCAGAAGCAGGTGGCTCTCTGTGAAATCAAGACAAGCCTATCTACAAAGGGAGTTCCAGGTCAGTCAGAGTCACACAGTAAAACCCTGTCTCACTGCCCTTCCTCAAAAGATGTAATAGCAGCCCCTAAGAAAATAAAGGCAGAATTACCACAAGATCCAGAATGACCTTCTTTGAAGTATTTATGCCAAAGTATTAAAAGTTTTGTACTTTTTCCAAAATTATTTTTATTTTTAATCAGCATTAATAATTTTACCTATTGATGGGATACAATTTCATGTTTTGATGTATACAGTGTGGAATGACTAAATTAAGCTGATTTTATTCATCACCTTAAGCTAATTAACGTGTTCATCACTTTACTTGACTTTTCATAGTAAATTTTTAATTTTTTTAAAAAGATTTAGTTCATTTCTTAAATATCTATCTATCTATCTATCTATCTATCTATCTATCTATCTATCTATCTATCTATTTATTTTGAGACAGGGTATCTCTATATTGTCCTAGCTGTCCTGGAACTCAGAATGTAGATGAGGCTGGTTTCAAACTCATAGAGATCTGCCTGCCTCTGCCTCCTGAGTGCTGG